GCTGGATTGGTTGTATTGCTGATTTCAGCGTGCATCGGGGAATCGCCCAAGTGGAATAGAACCACGACCATAACCAGGACTTCACTACCACTGACGTGGTCGTAAGCAAAAAAACCGTTGGCACTGTGGTCACTGGGCCAAGAAAGAGCCAGAGGTCAAACTTGTTTATGAATCCACTGTTTGAAGAGGTAATTCAAGTAATGCTTACTTGATATCATCAACAGCCTTGTCCAGTAGTTCCAGCGCGGAGGCACAGTTCGAAGTGGCCAGGAAATGGATATTGTACTCCTGGTTGGTCATCCTTGGAGGTAGGCCGGCGAGGGTAAAAAAAACACTCATGTGTTTATTCCATTTCTTCCCGACATTCCCGGAAGTATTGTCAGAGTACAAGCTGATTGGGATGTGCTTGATGACGCGACCTTGGGCTTGCTCACGCCAAGGATTGGTCATCGGTAAAGGCCGATGCCCGATTGGCGAGTCTTCTAAATGAAAGACATCATCAGGCCGGACGTTAAAGGCCACCACACAAACATAACATAACATGGTTAAAAAAGGGCCCACGAGATATATGACCCCCACAGCGATCAGCAAGGGCCGTGCCGTCTTCTAAGATGATGTTGGCGGTTCCTCGCCAGAAATCCTTCACATCAATTGTTTGGAAATCCATCGAGTCAAAACAAGGTTCGGCCGGGATGCACAACTTGAGCAGTAATGGGTGTTCTGGATCCTCTTGAACGCTCGCCGGGAGGCATTTGGCCAGGGTCTTTCCATGTTGCTGATAAAAAAACGCCGGCACTACAACCGCTTGCGAAACGGTTTGCACTGGTTCGTATATGAACCAGTGTTTGCCACGTGATACCACCATTGGCACCCGCATGTCTCGGGAGAACCCTTCGCGCCATTTTTGCGACTGAGACAACCGGTTGATGGGATCTAGCGTGGTGTTTGTCGGCAACTCGGGCAGAACAACCAGGTGCGGGCTTACCAAAGGATTGGCAAGTTCCTGCAACACCAAAGCGTTGGGTGTCAATGTGACCATCAACGCTCATGAAGAAGAGTAAACGGACGGAGGACCCACATTACTGACAATTGTCTGAACTTTCAACCCAAATACCGGGGTGCCGTGAGGACTGATCCGCTCGGAGACCCGCAGACCAAGATTGTTCTTTAGCTTTTTACTTAAAGCACGTAATGCCCCCCATTCAGGAAGACGAACAAGGCATATCTGGAGAATTGAACGGATTCGGTGGTATTGGGAGCGTGATAGGATGTTTCGAGTAGATCCAATAATCAATAACCCTACGAGGTGCTTTGGTGGAGAATGAATAATTGGATGAACGTGTTATATACGGAATTATTTTGTCGAACACGAAGACATCAGGATAAAGAATTGCGAGCTAGCTGACCTCTTTCTTCTTAAACGGGTACCATTGGGAAGCCTCTTCCACAGGCATCGTGGACGTGCGCAAATCCGCTTCCAGGGCGGCCGCATCAATTGCCTCGTCGCCCTCTTCACCCCACATATCTTCTTCCATGACCCTAAAAGCCTCAGCAAGCTTTTGAAGGTCAACTTCTCCATCGGAGTCATCTGAATCGGAAATCTGACGCTCCTCCGCCATTGCGAGAGTGTGAAGCGCAGTGAAAGGAGAGGGAGCCCTTTCTGGAGTATCAGAGCGAGAGGTGATTTCATCAAAGATGTTATCTTGGACAGGAGCGGGCGAGATGGCACCGGGTGGGTCTGGCTCTTGGAGGCCAGGCATCATCATGTTTTCAGCAGCTTGACGAGCGTTGTAGCGCGCCACAGCTTCCAGGTGTTTCGCCGAGTGTGAGTGGGGGCCATAGTCTTCCATGCCCTTCCGTCCGCACACTAAACACTTCCAGTTGGACACAGAGGGCACTTTTGAGAGCTGTTGGAAATCTGCAATTTTTTGAGAGATGTCACCACCCCACACACTCAAAAGCAGTTCGAATCAACAAAAACATACATGGGTTAGGAGGATGATTGTGAGCCATTTCGAGAGGCGCGGTCAACGTGAGGTTGCTTGTGTGAGTTGATTTGGGTGGGAAGTTGGGATTCTTGGCTGACGACAAACAAACGTGGGTCAGGGCATATCAACATGGATTATGTTGAGAAAAATAGTCGATGAACGAACGCAATTGGCCAGAAGAGAGGAAATGGTGCAGGAAATTTCGGTGGAATTGAGTGCGTGCGTGTTTCAAAAATCAAACGGACACGGTTTAAGAAAAACAACAATGATCTTACCGCCCGGGGTCAGTTGCTTGACTGGATGAGAAATGCCATCAAACCCCAAGGAGAAACCGGTGAGGTCCACTCTGCTGCCGAGAGGCTGTGTTACTCTGACTCGAGGTGCGTGTCAAGGTTGTAATAGAAGGCTTTCGTGCTGAGGCGTTTCAGCTGTTTCATCTGGCTGCATCATGCTCCAAACGCATCTTTCATGCGTGGCTGATCACGATGTGATTGTTTGGACGTGATCTCATGCTTTCTTCTGCGATGTGACCTTGACATGCGTTTTGTTTCGAGAGATGTCTCAGGGTGTGCGTGTTGATCTCAACACCTTGTTGTTTGGTATACTCAACAACTTCCCACACACTGACTCCTTGCGCGCAGTGGGAGGAAACCCAAAGGAAACTACTTTTTGTATAATACAAACACGATGTTTGGAAAGAACAAACACCCACCCTGAGATTCCTTCCTCTGGTGTTTGGGATCTATCGCCAAGGCCCCCCCCCTCGGCCAGAAGGCGGCCGGTGGGCTGGATCGCGAACATTGGGGCAGCAGGTGGATGCGGGGCGACCCATGGGCGGCCCCCGGCGAGGCGCCACGCTGCATTTTGGCCAGGGGGGCATCGGAGGGGCCGACCGTGCCAGGGCATGCCTGGGGCGACCACTGCCTGGCCAGCAGGCGAGAGTAGGGCCAGCACTTGACCCGACCATGTGCAGACCAAGGTCGGGACTCAAAGTACCCCCGTGGTGTACTCATATGACCGGCCAGGGCTACAATCACTCGGACTCGGGGTAGACGGAGCTAGCCCCGATACCAGGTACTTTTAGCAACCCGGAGAACACAAACTGAAAGCTTGGATCAAGGCTGGTTGCCAATTTTGTTTGGCATATCAGATGTTGAGCTTCAAAGAGTTGGGATTGAGGTTTGTACAAAAAATGAGTGAGCGTGATTGTGTGTGTTCAACATTTTTTCTTGAATAATGAAAGACATCAATTACAGCCCTTTGCATAATTGATGACTTTGAAGAAAAAAAAACCTCGAGTTTTTTTCAACCCTGGGCCAGCAACGCAGGTGTTGCGTGTTGCGCTGCGCCTGCGTTGCGGTTTTTCTGACCGCAGCGCAACATAGAATCAAATTCTAGGTTGCGGCCTGACCCGCAGTGCAACATCATTTGTCAAATCGATGGATTTTTTGGGCCGCAACAACATTTGTTGCGTTGCTGCCCAAAAAAAATCACAGTTCGGCGTTTTTTTGGCGCTGTTGCGCCTGTTGTGTTGCGCGACGGTCAAGGCGCCGCGCAACCTGACCTCACCATTTGTTGTTGCGGTACTTACCGCAGCGCAGCATGTAATGCAGGTTTGTGCTGCGTGTTGCGGAGCAACGCACCAAAAAACACTCGTGTTGCGGTGCGTTGCGTTGCTGGCACAGGGTTGTTTTTTTGGAAAGTGACCGAGTTTTGTCAACAAGCTGCTGGGTTTTTCAAAAAGTCAGTGAGTTTTTTTTGGAAACCTGGCCCAGTAATTCTAAAAGAGAAAGAGCTCGCTCAGTTTTTGAAAAACTCAATGAGTTTTTGAAAAAAACTCGCAGGTTTTTTTTGAAAACTCAAGTGTTTTCTCTTTTTCCAAAGTCATCAATTCTGCAAAGGGCTGTATGTATGAGTTTTTATTGATTAAGATGTTTAGAGTCAAGCGTGCAAAGGGACACATCTTGTGAGGACTTGGAGTTGTGAATGTGGTACTCAAAAAAATTGTATCATCGTCAGACTCTTGCCGGTTGAAAGAAGTTTTATTTACAATTCTTCAACTCGTCTACCTCCATATGCAAACGTTTTTGAACTTGAAATCTTGAAAAAAAGTGAGATTTATAATTACTTTGCATCTTTCGTAGTCCCACTTCTGTTCGGTCAGAATTCTTTTTGTGGAATTCAGAAAATCGGAAGGCCAACAAGTTTCTCAGATTTCAATCAGAAGCTACCCTTCTACTTCACAAGATTTTCTATATCTTTTTCAGCTGTATGAACCACTAATTTGGAATATGAAGAGGTTAGCATACTTATTCTTTTCCATGAAGCCTAAGGGTAAGTTGAGCAAATTCTAAGAGTCACGGCTTTGATGTTCATTGTCATCACAAGTCTAACTGACAAATCAATGTTAAAGACTCCATAAGGCATCGAAATTAAGTAATAGTCTTTGATAGATATCTCATTTCTATAGATTAGCAAGCAACCTAAGAAGCGTGTGACACGAGGAAAACAGACGTTGACATGGCTCCGTGAGTCGAGGTATATCTGTCTCTCGGAGATCATCGTCTTGATATGTCCAGTAGGTCTAAATTCGATGTGCATGGTATTCTCCTCTTCTCCGGAAAGATTTCAATTTTACCCATCCGCCAGATATAAAGGATTTCGTGCAAATGATTGCTTGCACCTGGGCCATGGATCATGATACAAGGGATGTAGCAGACAGGAATATAGATTGGCACATTGACTCATATGCCAAAAAGATGTCTCTATTTGATGACCAGATCCCTGCCCGTTTGAGTGATCAATGTATCTTCCTTACTGCATGATTTCATGCGCTGTAAACAACTACTCGAACTGGACACACTTTGGCTGTCCTTGACTTCTTATCTGAAATGACCATAATGGACGCTACCCACCATAACTTTTTGATGGACCCATCGCAAAAAGTTGTGCAAGCTAGAAGCAAAAGCAAAGCTGGCGCCAAAGCCTGTCTCATCAAGTGACATGCAAGATAATTTGAATCGAATGTAGATATTAAACATGGCTCAAGAACGCTTAAGCTTAAAGTTAAATGTACGGGACAATATCTTCATGACAGCTAGTAAATAGTCAGTAGGGTTATATACTTGATGTTTGTACACAAAGGAAGGGAGATGACAGTGAATAAGAGTAGATCGTAACTTGGTCAAATGTGATTACATGAAAAGAAGGTTACTTTCAAGGTCCAATCAGAAAAAAATGTATGAAGAGTAAGAAGACAAGATCCGATCTAAGGAATAGAAAGATATATCAATAAGAAGATGACTCCAATGATTAGCATGAAAGTCGGCATAGATCAGAATCAGAACTCTTCCTTTCATTTGTGAAAGCAGTTTGTAATTGTTTTATATTAGTTAATGGCTAAGGTTATATGTAAAATTTAGAGTTAACTGTTCAACTGTTCTGAGTGATGAACTCAAAGGACGTAAATCCGAGCAAGAGTTAATGAGGCAGGTTTCGTAGTAGAACTATGCTCCTGAGTTGACTGTGAATGACGGTGAGCTTGGAGGAGCCTACAAGATAAAACATTAACACATAAGTCATATGAACACTAAGATGAAATCACTGCATAAAGTCAGCATCTCTTCACCTGTAGATCCCATTCAACTCTGTGTCTCCGGTGTTCCTGCTCCTTTGTGGATGTTGGCAATCGACTTAAGCCGGCCAGATGCCTGGCTCGAGCTCTTGAACTTGATTCGGCTAGAGAGCTCAGCCAGGCTCCCATCTCGTCCGTCAACTCGTGCAACTTTTCGTGGTCTCGTTCTTGAGCTGGCCAGCGGTCACAAGGCGGAGCTACGAGGATAGGTTCTTGGGGACAGGGGGTCTGAGCGATTGTGAAGACGGATCCATTAGAATGTGAGCGAGTATGGCGCTGGGGATCACGCTGAAGTCTAGAACGACGCCGGCTAGGCTGAGAGGATTCGGATGGCGGATTGAAAGACACAGGCGAAATGGAACAAGGTCGACTGATATCAGGAGTAGGGGGCTTTGAAAAGAATGGAGCACTTTGACTGTGAACAATTGAAGGTTTGAGGCTACTGTAGGAGCGTAGGGTGCGAAGAAGTTTTGGCCGAAGACCACGAGATTGATCGGTACTGTTGGTGATATTAAGCGTGGAAGGTTCCGAACAAAGTGATCTCTGTAGATCTATGGTTTGGCGACGCACAAAGGCTGGCGCGTGTGGGTCGTCAAAGACTCGGCTCGAATGACAAGAGAACAGCTTAGTCAGGTACGGCTTCCGGTTTTCTTCCGATCCAGATGGGTTCTTTGTTGAACGGAATGCAAAGACGCGGACGTTGCAGAGAGAGGCAAACGCGATAAATCGATTGGATTTCATCAATGTTGTCATCACAGATTTTGCGCATGGAACGCTAAAGATATCTAATCATGAACGACGCACGCACCTTTCCAAAATGGTATTGTGGCATCATACGGCAACTTGAAAGTTGTGATGAAATTGCAAGAGCAATGGACAACGAAATCCAAGGCACCAGAAGACTGGATGAAGGCAGTCCCAGTCGAGGGCTCCTGTCGGCTAGATGATGACTAACTTGAGACGGGTGGAATGAAGCGAGAAGAGGTTGAGGGAGATAGAGCTGAGCTCGCGAGCCCGCTGGAGCCGAGGGCAAGTTTCGAAAGGGGTTAAGGTTGTAGGTTAAACCGATTCGAGGGATGGTTACTTTTGTAGATTGTGCTGACAAGACAGGGAAATGATTTCAATCCGGCTGAGATCCGGGGGAATGGGTAGAAAAGGAAAGAAGAATGTGAGCTAAAGGACTCTAGTAGAGTCTAGACTGCTAAAGGAGAGTAGATGACGAGCTATTCAGTCATTCGTTCACCCTCATGAGTCATTCCTGCCAAGTTCACTGTTTGTACTGTACAAATTCCCTTGAACAGCCTTGAACAGCCTTGAACTCACGATTGACTTGTCACGCTCAAGCAAAGGGATGAGAAGGGATGTTCAGAATCGATGGCAGTGGCTGATGTTGTATTTATGTACATACATGTTCACCATCCTAATCGAACACTTGTTGACTACATAAATTTTTTGTCCGAGCTTCCTTGAACTATGTCTGGTGCCCACCCGGGCGGTATAGGAGGTATACCGTATACATACATACGTCTTGCAGTCAATATGGTGGCACTGCTCACAATTTAACTGCTCACTGTGTTCAACCCCCACCGAATCCCTCATGAGTCATGGGTGATTTTGTAATGCGCTCCGAGTCCAGCGTTGAGTTTGGTGATTTCGCCTCTCTTTGATTCAGTTCATGTAATACTCACAGTCACCTCTTACAACACATGCTATTGCAAACTCGGAAGGACAAGGATACATACGTGACGCCGAGTCGCGGGACTCTCCAGTCATCGGCATCTATCAAACCTCAAACCGCTGGGACATCGTATGGGAGATTGCTGATTTCAGCTGATTGTTTGGCTTCAAATTGGTCTTCGTGATTAGAAATTCGCATAACTCTGTTCTTGTCAGACACCCTGTCACCGGCACCCTCTGTGGTGGCGTACATGTTTAGGTTTTTGAAGAAGAGCAAGCTGAGGAGGAATGCGTCCTCTGGACTCAAGTCTAACACCAACACTTGGAAGAAACTGAAGTGATATGAGTTAGAGCAAGTAAAGATATGCTTCGCTGAGCCCCTCACAAGCGCACGAGGGGCTTAATTAAGCTTGAAGTCAAAGCAACGGAGTGATAGCAAACCACGAGGACCTCACGCAGAAAGAACCTCCGGACCGTGCTCAAAGTGAACATAGGAATTTTAGATTTTGAGTTGCCTACTTTTTTGCATTGGATTTGCATTTTCCTCAAGATGTAATTTTACTCATCTCAATAGCAGATCTTCTTTTCAAGTGAAATGCAAAATCAAAGAAGAAGAAATATGTGGAACATGGTGAATGATGAAAGTTAGAAGGTATTCCGTCATAAGTTAAAAAACAATCCATTGGAACCATGTCTCAACAGCAATTAAAGATGTCACCAATCCATGCAAATCCCTCTGCTCGCAAGTCAGAGGCATCCTTCATGTTGTACGTGCATATTTGTACACAGACCAGACGCCCATCCTGAGGCTTTTGAGCTGCCGAGTTTTGATGAGCAAGCTTCATGGTGGCATAGGATGGCCTCTACTTTGTATTTGAGTTTCTTTTCCGAAAATAAAGAGACCGGCAGAGACAACTTTAAAAGTGTGGCTATCTTGTGATTCTCACACTTTAGGGGCCTCTTCTAAATTTTGATGAACATCATGCTATTGCTAGTCCAACACATGTTGTCAATTGCAATTTGCAGGCAGGCCACCAAATGCCAGCAAGGGGCTTTGTTGTATTTAAATCTTTCATTTACAAAATTGACTTCTCTAGCACAACCTGATTAATATCTTGCACTTAACCTTTGGATATACTATAACCAACTTGTCAGTAGGTGCTTTCAAACTAGGAAAAAGTCGAAATGTTCACCAGAAAAATCGTCAACTGTGTAATTACAATACATGTGATACAAGACTGTAGTGCAATCATAGTTTTTCATTACATGCTTTTTTGCTCCTTCAAAATTGTGAGGCCCTACGAGGGAGGAGGAGGGAGGCCCTGGGAGGCCCCCTCCAAATACAAAGTTGAACTTTGTGATTGCACTACAGCGATGTATCAGATGTATTGTAATTACACAGTTGCGAAATAGTTACACAGTTCACATTTTTTCTTGTGAACATTTCGACTTTTTCCTAGTTTGAAAGCACCTATTGAACAATTGGTTGGTGAACTTGAGGTTGAAGACTGGCTAAGTTAACTAAGTCCCTCCTCCAATTGCAGGTGTGCTCTGAAGTGTGTTTGATAACCAGTGGCTGGCTACTTACACTCATCTCAGGATGGGGGTGCGGCCTTGTAGAAAGGCGCGCCCTGGCGCGTTTTTGAAAAACGGGTGCGTCTAGGCGCCACTGGCGTGTTAGGCGTGGCCTTTCACCACGCAAAAATGAAAAAACATGAAAAAATGTGAAAAAAAATCAGGAAATGCATTTTAACCAACCTTAAATACATATTTGTTGCTGATAAGATAGAAGATGGATTGTTTGAAGGTCAATTGTTAATTGAAGTTGAGTCATAAAACAGCTTGGAAATGGGGTTTATAAGAAAATAAACATGAGGAAAGCCCCACTTTCTCACTATGAGGCATACAGGCTTTTGGGTGTGCCCGCCATGTTTTCAAGATGTTTAGGTGTGGTTTACGCGTAGGTGTGGCACGCGCCTTGGCACATTATTTATTTTGCACCCCCATCCTGACACTCATCAAATCTTAGTTGTTCTCTGATTGTGATATCAGTGGTATACAAACATGAAAACCCAACCTGAATACCCATGGCCAAAACCCATGACAACCCAATTGTTTTTATTGTTTTTGGGGTTTATCGGATTGTCAGGGGTTTTGTCCATGGGTTTTCAGGTTGGGTTTTCATGTTTGTGTACCGCTATCCTCACTCCAAAGAATTGGAGCCTGCACAAAGCGCGGAAAAATTCCGCGCGGATTTTGAAAGTGCGGAATTCATACTGAGCTGTACAGACAGCACTCAAAGAGCACCGTCTGAATTGGGAAGGTGGCTTCCTTCAAACACGTTTCAACCTAAGAAGAGGGTTGGGCAATAAAAACAATATGTACAAACATAGAACACTGGGTACACAACTAAAGAGACAGGGAACCGTGAGAAACAAGGTCTATCAGTGTTCTTTTGAAAGACCTCATCTCGATTGTTGATGAAAGGTCAAAAGGTTGAACCAAAAAGAAGGAAGGTCGATGTTGTTGATAACGCTTGCTCTGGTGCACAAAACAACGGTCACTCTGATATTCAGATTGTTTACAATTGACACGTATCTTTTACTCTTTCACTTGATTGGAGTCCTTTTGTTTGAAATATAAGATCAAGCATTATGTTGGTATTTGTTCTACTGTATAGTTTGTCTTACACTTGTGGTGTGTTATCTTGGAAAATCCGAGATCAGGTAGACAGATCTATCTTGAAGCCGCATCAATTGTTTTCTAAGATCATCATCTCATGATGGATTGTTCAAGTCAATCAAGTACAACAATTATTGTGATCAAAGTTTTGAATGATATCATTTGTTATCATTCGAGACTTTGATAATTCAGCAAGACTTTCTTTCAAGATGTTATCAGTAATAACATTGTTTCTCAATTATGCTTGGTGGATGCTGCTGAAGTGATCTGATACAATAAAGTCCGTCAAAATCGAATTGAGATCCTTACTGATCATGATCATCTTTCTTTAATTTCAATCTGCTTCAATACAATCAGAGAGCCTGGTAATTCGGGGTGAAAAGTTGTTGGCTTGTTGAGAAGTAGCTCGGCTGGATTTTTTTTGTTGAATGATAGGTGTGGTTGGAACAACCTGCATTGGCAGTAGCTTCAAAATGTCTTTCTGCTTTGGGATCCTGAAAACAATGTGCTCACCCCGTCTACCCTGTATGTCACCCTGTATTTTCTGCGGTTTCCGCACTTTCCACACTTTCCGCCTTGCCTTGGGGAGGCTCCGATGCTCTCCCTCAGTCAACTGGAGTGTGGCTGTTGATCACCAGTCACAAATGTGCCCAACACAAATATCTCACATTGGTCAGTCACTCTTTCCTGTATCTCTCATCCAATGCTATGGTACATGTGGTCCATTTGGTTCTTGCAACTTGAGAAAATGTTCTAGGCTTCCAATAGTGAGGAGGACTGTGCATATTAGCCAAGGGATAAGCTAAGAAGAATCTTGAGATCACCTCATCAAAACATTTATCTCAGTTGCATCAGTACTATATACTCATGCAAAGATCCTCCCAGAATGTTCTGTTCATCACACTTGGAATATCACTAGCCAAAGACACCTAGCAATACATCATCAGGCCCTCCCCAAATTCAAAGCCAACTAACCAGAACTTCCTGATTTATTCTTCAGAAGAGACACTAGTTTTAACTTGTGGTTTGAGTTATTTAAGTGTGAATTTTCAGGACAAATCAAGCACACCACACTGCCAGCATTAAATAGGTTCCCTGGTCGGAACAGGAGGTGGATGGAATTTGATATAAGCATGGTATGAAGCTGATCATCATGGAGGAAGTAGATGAATTGATATTCTTGCATCTGGATTCACCCCCCAAACCTCTGTACCCTGTCACAACTATTGAGAGACACATTTTGTCTCTTTTGTATTCAAGTTTTGGCTGCTGTAAAAGTTAATAGACACTAACATACTCAATCCCACATTAGCCGTTCAATCATAGTTGTTTTCTTGCAACTTTAAACCTCAACCCTAAATCTCCTTTGGATTTGTCCTCCCCCACAACACACATAGATTCTTTTCCTCATCTGGCATTGCACAGGAGGAAAAGAGTAAGTCATATCCCTTGTATTCACACTCAACCTCATTTCTAATACTATCATTAGTCTTATATTTATATAGACTTTCTTTCTTTTGTATCTGTTTCATTTTATTAATTGTTTCTTTTCACTTCATTACACTATTTAATCTGATACTACATCAACACTAGATCAATGAGCTGAAATGCTTTTGCATCCATTCTTCACTTTTATCTTTATCTTTGAAATGAAACCATATAGGTCAGATAACCTTAGATAGTGTTATATATCATTTCTTTCTGCTTTATCATCTAACACCTTTCATCTTTCCTATGTCTGGTTTGTTATAATTATCTGGTTGTATAGGTTAGTCATCAGGTAGTTAGTGATGTGAGGTGAAGAGAGGCTCACCTCAGGCTCTAGAAACTGTCACAGTACATCAGCAATATAGATATGTACCTCAATGGGTTTCTTTACTTTTCAACCACAACAGGGCTCAGAGTTTTGGGTAGGTAAAGAGGCAGGACCTCTCTGCTTACTAATACCACACCAACTCTGGTTCAACTTTCATGCCTGAAAGCCAAAAGCACCTACAACTTGAGTGAAATGTGTGTGCTCCAAAACTTCAATCCTTGAATGTGGCCCAACAGTCTATTGTGTATGATGCCAAGCTTTTCCATTTTGAAGCAACAACTCAAAAACACACCTACTGTGACATTAAGAAGAAAAGCATCTTTGCCATTCTTCTTGATATCTCCCTACACTGTGCCCGTGGAGGGCGCCCTAGACGTCAGGGGCCCTCAAGAGTACAAAGGGAAGCCTTTGTACTTGTTGGAGCCCCCAACGTCTGGGATGCTCTCCACGGGCATAGTGCTATGACTTCTGGTAATGTCAAGCGGGCAGGCCTGTCTATAATCTAGTTGGTTTTGTATTGGCAAGCTATTGTCAATCCAAGTTTATGTTTTGCCAAAACCCAAATACCACTTGGCAAAGATCACCCCTCTGTAAGAGGCCATCACGTCATCACCATGTTGTATTCCTTGCAAGGATTTATTGGCTTGAACCAATGCATGAAGCGATGAATATAAAATTAGTTTTGAAAAGTAGGGGTTTATACACTTGATTGATTTTCTTGAAGGCTTCTTTGGACTGTGATATGTGGCCACTTTTCATTTGATAGTCATCAAGGTATCTTTTATTTAACTTGGTCCAATTTATGGCTGACATGGTGCAGTTGGGAAGTGATGGCTTGGACATCACACCATTATAACAAGCATGTTCTGATACTGGGTATATACACACAGCCACACTCATATTCCCTTGTCATGTCTTGTAGCTTCCATAGCAACTTCTATAACCAAGATTTTCTTGTGGTGTGGAATGTCAAAAGGCAGATCCTCATATCATAGAGAGATGCTACAAATGACATACAGACAATCAATTCAATAAATGTAAAGCCTTTGTACCCTTTTTTTGTAGTAGGTGTGAGTTCAAGTGCCTCAACACACCCTACAACACACCCTACAAACCCTATGTACATCTGAAAAAGGGAGTGCATGCACTATTTTTGCCAAGGCAGCTCATGTTTAAGAAGGGGTTTTCAAGGAAGCCACAATCAACAGGTTTTGAACAATATTCATCATCATTTGAGCTCCAACTTGGTGTATCTGGCCTCCAATATTTCCAAATGTGGTTTGATTGAAGAACATGTTTTTTGAAACTCTTCATCACTTTTGGTGCTTGAAAGGAATTTTGATGAATGAAGAGCAGGGACATCAAGAGTAAAGGAAGGACCATATTCCATATAGATATCAACTTCTGAGGGAATATCTGTACTCAATGAACAAGTTCGTGCAAGCTGATTGGACAATTGAGTATCAGAAATATAAGTGGACGAAGTTTAAATATGATTCATTGAGATAAGAAAGTAAATCCTGTACTTACAGCAATGGATGTGAAGTAAGCCCATGCCCTAGCTGCATTTGCACGACGATAACCTCCTCCTCCCAATAGCAAAACTTTACACTTTATCAACCTAGATTGACGAATGATATCGTTCAAGCAATTTCCCATCTCTTCAAGCCCAAGTCCCCAATGAGACCCACCTATCGGATCACCAGCCAATCCATCTACTCCACATTGTACCACTACAGCGTCCGGCTTATAGAGATTGATGATGGGTAGAAGGAATTGTGAAGAGACATGAGTAAGTTGACCAGGGCTCGAGATAGGAATGTTGAGTGCATGCGAGGAAGCAGGTGAAGGAGGGGAGGGACCTGAGTCAGAAGAACTGCCTGTAAGCGGATAAAATCCACCTTCTGGATCATGACAGTGAATTGAGACAGTCAAGACGCGTGAAGTTGAATGAAAAGCCATCTCTACGCCTGCGATCGAAAAAAAAACATCAACCCAATGGATTCGAGTTGTACAACGGTTCCAACACGTCCATAGGCAAAAAAGCTTACCATCACCATGATGAACATCTAAATCAAGATACAAAACTCGATCAATCTTAGTTTGAGTCTTGTCTATTGGTGGCCGACGAAGTTCCATGATTGCTAAAACAATGTCATTGACATAGCAAAAACCGGATGCCTTTGCTTGTTGGGCATGATGCCTGAAGAATCCAAATCATGAGCGAAAAGTGCACAATCATCAGTTGAAACAACATTGAGCCACATAGGAAAGTCAATTGAAAGCTGTCTTACCGACCGCCATCCCAAACCATACCGATATCGGCTCGTCCTTCACGTAGTTCGCGTGAGATTTGAAGTGAAGCCCCAGCCACTGCTTGAACGTACTCCGCTAATTCAGGAAAATATGGACAATCCTGATAGATAGTAGACATAATCGGTGTTTTTGAGTATAGCCGACATTTTCAGAATCATTCGCGAGTTGACACACACGTGTTCAAGACCGAAAGTAGATCGTCCTCCTTGTGATCCTATTCGTCTACGCTTTCGATGAGTTTCTTTTAATGCATGTGTTGACTGGCTCGAGTCGTTCGAATCATCTTCGCTGCCGCTGCTCGCGGATGATTGGTCACTGTCCGCATCTGACTTGGAGTCAAGGACACGGTCTGAGGAAAGCCATACTATCAGGGATGCCCGCCGATTGGAAAGTTCATTGTCTTACCGACATATTCAGGATCGTGAAATGATTCTAATTCTTCACGCCCTGCTAGTCCAGTAGGCAGCACGCGAGCTCGGCTGAGGGGGTCGATGGCCGAACCAGTGTCGAGTAGGTCTAAGGATTCGATCAGATTGTGAACGGCGGAGGAACGTCCAATATTGGAAGGTAATTGATCGATGGAGCGAAACGATTTAGGACGCGCATAGACACATCTCGGTGAGGCACTTGGCAAGGATTCCATCTTCCCGTTGGCAGTGGCCACATCCCACACAAGCGAGAGACGGTCACAACCAAATTACAGTTACAGTACCATTCTATTTACACAAAGAAAACGTCATCAGGACCAGTCTTTGATCCATTCCAAAGCGGAAGACCCCGGTGGTTCATCTCACACGGCATCGAAGTCTTGATACATCAAACATCAACAAATATTGCACGCCTTTACAACTAATCTCGGATTTTATGGAGTTTCAACATGTATTTGATGAAGGTATACAGACACAAAAGCTACAATATTCCTGGGATGATAGCCCTTCTTTTTTTGGGAATAGCATCTCCAAACTTATCTCGGTACCAATGATGAGTTCGAACTGCCCGAGGTATCAGAACACCTACCATAGCTAGGAAAAATAAACCGGGTGGTGAGTCATAGATACTGAGATCGCAGACGGTGTTTGTCGGTTCCAGGTGTTGAAAACAGATGGATGCAGCATTTGCGAACGAGAACCACTCTAGCAGTTCTGATAGATAATTTGGACAAGATACGCCTCCAAGGGGTAAAGAATATAGAAAACCGTGAGGGACGCTATATTTTCCTGTGCCAATCGATGATCGACGTAGACCATAGAGTATTTCATCATGAATGATGTTACTTATGAAACCTATAGCCCACCCACCCATACATAGGTGGAACATAGCCCATGACCAAGCAGGAGAGGCTATGGTCTTGGAGGATTGGAGAGGAGCAGGTGGACATTGGCCTGAGAGCGAAGTTCCGATCAGATACCCGTTCAAAAGATTGAACATAACGGCCATGATGGGCACTATGACGTGCATCTTGGAGCGGGAAGGGTTACGAAAGGTGGACACCACGGTTCGGTTGAAATAATGAAGTAGAAAAGCTAGTAAAAGGATGAGACGGCCAGTCGGTAGAGTCCAAATACGACGCAGGTCGAAGTTGTAATCGCCATGAGAGTTGCTATCCATAGAAGCTGCCATAAGACAAGTCACAGGGCTGACGAGCTCCATCAAAAACCACGCTATGCTGCCTAGAAAACCAAGAGTGTTTCATGCACCAGTTGAACATTAACACATGTCACTCAGTCCTCGTGTTATTTGATCGGACAAAGAGGAAACTTATGAGGCAATCGACTCTTCGAGGGACCGCTTCTCACTCTACACACCATTGACATTGAACCCTAGAGGGTTTGCGGCTCGCCCGTGTGGCGCATCTGCACGACCAAGAGTTCAAGAATCAGATAAAAACATCAGAAACACTCATGATCATCTCTATGCTGAAATTACAAACCCATGAATAACAAAACGGGAGCGACCATAGGGTACATTTTCACGATAAGTCGACACGACTGATAGAAACCTGTCGATCCTAACTGTCCACGAAGGCCAGCGGCGAAGGATGGAGGGAGGTTAAGCATTTCTGAGTGAGGTACATAAACAATTTGAATGAGGTGATGGTCGCTTTTTGTAGAAGCCCTTTGAGGGGCAAACTTTTCTGAAAATTATGTACCGTAGGGTAAACTGACAAGACCCCTATGAAGTTAACACTACTACTACTTCACAAAAAGCTAACCCGCAGTCAATGATCTCCTACACTGGAGCCAAGGTTTCCTTTATCAAAGACACAATCAAGCAATTGTTAAATATCAAAAAAAAACTTGACTAAGTACCTTGCCCTTGGAAGGACTTGAGCAAGGGACTTAAACCAAACTCACACAGAGTTGGGGTTGGGCGAAAAACCGACCAACCAGTTTCTGAGTGCCATTGAGTTGCGATTCAATTTTTTAGGAATGCTCAGGAACAATTGCTAAAACTGTTGCGACAACCTAGAACACGCGCAAAGAGAAATGGAAAGGGTGTGTATTCATTTCTAATAAGCAATCAAAAAGAGAAGGAAAAACATAAAGGACAAAAAGCAGGAACTCTTACCTAGAACACGCGCAAAGAGAAATGGAAAGGGTGAAGAAGAAGCTCCCTTTCCATGCGCTGTTCTAGGCTTGTTATATACAAGGTTCTTTACGTACAAAGTAAGTAAACACATCGTTGACATGTAGATGGGTACGATGATGGGTGAGAGCATTGATACAATCATGTTATGTACTACTAGTATATAGAATGAATTGTAGAAATGATAAACTAGGTGTGGTGAGAAGCTCTAAGGATGAAAAGCACATCATTGATCTGTGAGACTAAAGAATACTACAACGTTCTCATGATATCGGTGTAGTTATTAGCGGTGTACAAACCTACAACCCAACATGAAAACCCATGAAAAAAACCCATGAAAACCCAACTTCTTTTTGGGTTTTTTTGACGGGTTTTTTCACATGGGTTGAATTTGGCTAGATCTGATCACCCATCAAAAGAAAAAAAATAACTGAGTCTAACGTGCCCCTTCCTTGCCAACACAACATGTCCAAACTGTCCAGAAACCTCACACAAAACAGTCTCACATCCACAGTTCCATTATTGGCTCATTGGATAGTTTCATTTTTTGTACTTTAATCGATTAACTAACAATTGAAGTTAGTTCTAGAAATCGAGTGACTTGTTTCAATCTTTTTTACCTTGATTGATTATCTTTGATCACCTTTTATTGAAAAGTATAGATCACATGGACCGATCACATGAACCAATTGAAGCTAGTTCCAGAAATTGAGTGACTCCTACTGAACTTATTAAATTTCATTCGATTTATGCTGCTCGTCTATCTGATCTGTGGTGATTTGAAGAGTTCGAAAATTAAAAAGTTCTATCTCTATTAAAATCCAAAAACAGTCTGTCTGCTATATAAGATTGGTTTCTCTCTCTTTAGTTTTAAACTCTTGCAATATGAAGAAGTCGAGAGATCGTTTCATTTTGAAGGGAAAACATGTCTAAATCGACTTTTAAGAATTTGAGTAGACTTCCACAAGTCAGATATCGTTGTCTTGTCTAAATCGCTGTTGCTGTCATCGGCATCGGCATCGTACTTCATGAGGGACACCATCATCGAACAAGCAATTGAATTTCGAAGGAAACCGTGGATGAGGTCATGGTGGTGGTGGATGCAAGACTAGCGATGTGAAGTAAAATTGAAGCATCAAGTGATGGTAGGAGCTGCCCGTGTCTTGTGACTCGAGGCACATTTTAGGATGTGATGGGGGTTGAGAGGGGTTGGGGCGTTCAAACCATTCCAGGGCGACCCATCGAAAAAACCCATGAAAAAAACCCAAAAAGAAGTTGGGTTTTCATGGGTTTTTTCGATGGGTTTTCATGTTGGGTTGTAGGTTTGTACACCGCTATTCTAACAAAAACAATATCAAAGCCAACAAAAAAACTTGTCGTTCGCTTTGCTTTGCAAAAGAATCACCAAAAGTTGACTGGTCAGCGGTGTTCTTGCTCATTCCAAAGCCCAAACAATTCAAAAACCAAAAGCACTTTGTGCCACTCAAGCCACAGAAACAACGTCTTTCCACCTTTCACAAAGCAGACCCAGGTACCACCCAGGCTCTTTCGGAGCTCAGCTCAGTTGAAAAGGCCTGTCTTCAGACCCAAACACTGACTTTGAGTGACCTGGCAGAGCAACAGGTCTGTGAAACCTGCACACAGTCGTTTCCGGCCATCTTCGACTTGCTTCGACTCCTTTCTGAAAGGCGCAAAACTGGTTGGTCGGTTTTTCACCCAACCCCTAGTGATTGCTCACCGTCAGATCTTTTGCAGGAGTGATTCTTGCAATCCCTCTGAGAGATTCCCTACCAAATATTCCTTTCTGAAGCAAATACCAAACATGTGCACTGAGGTCTTGTGCAGATTTTGGGCTATTTTTCTGATTAGGAAGTCAATTCCTTCTTCACTGAAACTAGGGCTATGACCCGGCCCCGGGACCAGGCCAGATCCGGCCTTGGACCTGAGTTCATTTTGAAAGCTACCGGGCAACACCGGGCCAGCCCTGGGTTGGGCAAGCCCTTTTTGAGCGCGTTTGAGAGCTTGAAAGGTACACTCAATAACATCAAATTAGATCAAATTCAACCACCAAAAAGTTCAGAACAATAAAACAAATGAGTGTAGCAAAAAAAAGGAATAACAAAAAAAATGAGTGTAGAGAAAAAAAGAAGAAATCAAAACAGACAAATGAGTGTATAGAAAAAAAAAGATAGAACATAAAACATAAAACAGCAAACAAGGACAAAAAAACATTTAAATAGATTTACTTGGATAACCCAATACCCCATGACTTAAGAAAAATCTGTGCCTCAAAGTTTTGATTAGTCATACATGATCAATAATCAGACATCACTCTGGAACCAGCAGAAAAGATATGTTCTGAGGGGGCACTCAATGCAGGAATGGCAAGCATGTACATAGCCATCCTAGCAAGAACAGGCCAGTTTGATTGGTTTGTTTTCCAAAATACTAAGATATCAGTACGTTCATCCACCAGTGGGGCAAGAAGATACTCCTTCACTTCGTCCTCCAGTTGAATGAATTTTCTTTGTTTGATAAAATGATGTGGTCTATTGTCATTGTCTTCAAGCACGGGTTCCGGTTCAACTATCTCAATATCTGGATCCTGAGTAGGTTTGAATTGTCTTGCTTGTTTGATAAAGTACTTGATAAGTTGATCTTTGTCAAATCCAAGCTCCTCTAAAGTGAAATCAGTGACAGCATTTAGCTTACGGCGAGGGTTGAGAATTGGGGAACATATGTAAACTGGTTTCTTCAAAGCCAACGTTGAATATTGAACTAATTTCTTAACCATAGGCAGAATAGCTGCCTTTAAGTTGGTACACTCGTATGTACTCCATGCCTATGTTTGGTAAATACAAAGACATATCAGACATAAAAATAAAAGTGAGTAAATATGAAATGGAACTTACTTTTTCAAGTTTTTCCACGAGCCATTGATAATTGGGCATTGCTTGTGAGAAGGTGGGATAATCATCACTCTTGATCTCCTTGATCACAATTGCAAGAGGTTGAAGAAACTTGACTAAGTTTCCCACCAAGATCCATTCATCTTTGGTTAGGAGGTAAGGCTCCAATGATTCATTGATGTTACAATAGTATTGAAGGACTTTCTTCAATTCAAAGTATTGCTCAAGAGAGTAAAAGGTTGAAGACCACCGAGTGGAAACCTCGTGGATGAGCCCAACTTTTTGAGGCTGAGAGGATGAGGAAATACATTGATCAAGAGCTTGTTTGAGCTGAGTGCTCAATTGGACACGTTTATGGAAACCACGAATTCGAGTAAGAATTGAGTGGACTTCAAGATGAGGAGTAGGTTCAATTAATGAATGGGTTCCATCTGGAAGATTGAGATCTTGAGATAATTGAGGATCTACAGCACTGAGAGCATCCGGGGGAGTCTTGGTGTCAAAAATTGAGACTCCAGCCTTAGCAACGAGGTTGATAATGTGGGCCACACAGCCGTGGAGATTCTTCTCGGGATCAAAGTGAGGTATAAGAAGTTCAAGCTCTCGCCCCATGGTTAGATTGTTTGAAGTGTTGTCAGCTGTAATGCAATAGAGTTTATTGCTGATAGAAAATTGATCTAAAGTGTTTTTAATGAGCGCAGCCATGTTTTTACCCGTATGAGTGCCATTGATTTCTTTCAAAGCTAAAACCACAGATTTCATAGAGAAATCATCAGTCATCCAGTGAGCCGTTATTCCAAGCATTGGTACACTGCTGGGTGAAGTCCAAGCATCACAAGTGATGCTGATGTAATCTACTGAAGAAAGAAGGGAACTGAGGCAATTGCAAGCAAGACGGAACTGAGCAACAATGCCATTGGTGATGGCAGTTTGTTTTGATAAGATAGGAGAGACAGCAGGGTTGATCCAGGCCAAAAGTTCACGGAATTCCGGGGCGTCCACAACTGATACAGCAAGCTCTTGATTCACAATAAGACGGATCACGGCATTGGTGAGGTTCTTCCTATTGAGTGTTCCTAACTAAAAGACATAAGATAGAAGGCTGTAAGACAACAAAAGACAAGATTAAATGAAAAGAATATCATCAATCACTTACGTTAGAAATCTTGCCAGTGGCAGAGAAGGATGCAAGAGTTTGCTGTGAGGTATTGATTGGGGGTTCAATGTGGTGAGCACAAGAGAGGTGATGAATCATCAATTTTGTGCTTCCACTCTTATCAATCACAAGCTCTTCTTGACATACAATGACAGGCGCTTCTGAATTGGGATTGCTGTTAACCTTGTCAGAAAATCCCTTGTTAGCACGGCACA